TAGTACATGCTATCCAACTACCGGTTAAGCAAATGAACATTTTTGCTCTATACTATAATTGCTTAAATCAATAATCAAGCTGCATGTCAATTTAATGTAACTGGGTGTGTGTGTGTGTCACTGTGTGTGTGTGTGTGTGTGTGAGAGAGAGAGAGGGAGAGAGAGAGAGTTCTTACTTCTAGTACTAGTACAAAGGAGTAACATACCATCTTTTTCATGTATGCCATCTGCTGCTTACACTTCCTAAATTTAGGCGGCACATATTGAGGATGGCTGACGAATTCGTCCTCCTTGTCAACTCTTGACATGCACACAAAGCAAATTTTTCTGCTTGGCAATTCCCTGTTTGGGTAAAAATGTTGAAATAACTCAAGCAGTCGTCCGGGGCATTCCTTGCAGTTTGAAGTATGTTCCCATTTTGTCGTGGGGCAGCAACATTTAGCATAAAAGGGCATCTTAGGGCATTCGTATCTGCTATGTGAGCCTATGTCATAATCTCAATAGTTAAACCAGATGCGAGGTATATCAAATCAAAACAAGCACAGATAATGTACGTCAGTTTATAGATGGCGCAACATTCAAGACAAGACCAGTTGATCTGTAAGTCACGTGGTCCGGTTCGGTATACAGAATACCATGTGACTCGGCGGTTTTGACGAACACTTTCAAGAGAGAACAAAATGCACGTGCTGAAAACTGCTGCGCTTTGCTTTTTTATGGTAGTTCAAGTTGTCGGTGAGTGCAACATACCACCAAGCCAGTGGTGTAGTAGTGAAGAAGTTGCAAGGACTTGCCAGGTAACGTGTTTAATTGATTTGTTTGCGATAAAAAATAGCATGTGCTTGACCTGTTGCTGTGGCTCGAGTACCGTAGCAGTGTGAGGCGCGTATCACAAATTAAGAACACAGTACACTTTTGTGTTTTTTCAATAACTTCTTTTCCTGTTCTTTCTACAGATGGATAAAGTAAACTCCGCATTATGTGATGAAATACGTGCATATATATAGCTTCTGAAAAAGCACGTATCCCGCCGGCACGAAATTCATGCGTTAATTTAGGGCATTCCTTTTGACAATTTTTGATATGTACATGTACGCCGTGCTGTATTACTATAATCAAAGCGTTTATTTAAAAAAAACAAAAAACAAAAAAAAAACGTCAATTGTGTGTCATTCCAGTTTATAAAAGCTTTTTGTGTGCTTTCATAAAATGAGTATGCTTACTAGCACTAGCACTACACTACAGTGAATATGGAAAAAATGTAAACAAAAGTTCCAGAGACTGATATTGTAAGTTCTACGATAGGACTACTAATATTGTTTAAAACCAACCACTTTCTCCTTTTTTACAGGTATATCAACAGTGCAAAGATTACATACAGAATACCGCCAATGTACCAGTGAGATTTACTCTGTATTATGAATCTCTGTGTCCTGCTTGCAAGGATTTCTTCATAGAACAGCTGTACGAAACCTTCCAAAAAGTGGGCAGCATCATGAACCTGACCCTTGTCCCATATGGAAATGCATTGGTATGATATATGCTAGTACTACCGACATAGTGATATGTTTGT